TTTTCTAAGCTAGAAGAGAAAAGGGAGAAAATATTTGAATCCTTAAAAGGAAGGGAAAAAGGAAGTTAAAGTGTGGCATGTAAATATTTAAATTGGTCAGGTGCAAATCTACTAAAAGTGATCCTCTGTCCACCCCATGAGAGTAATTTCATTTGTAGGTGTATAACCAAGAGAAATATGTCTGTACAATCAGAGTAACACGGTTCATAACAACCTAAGACTGGACACTACCCAAATGTCCAAAACTAGGGAGTAGATGAATCAACTGTGGTTTATTCACATGATGAAATACTACATGTCAACAAAAACAAATGAACTACAAGTACACAAAACAAAATGGGTAAATCCCTCAAGCATAATGTTAAATAAAAGACGCAAAGTATGTTTACTTCATGAAAATTTTAAGCTGTACACTTATATTTTTCAGCATGCATATTTCCATGGAAATTTCTCAAAAATCATACACACATCCCAAAATAAGCCAGGCACCCATAGATTTTGTTCAGGTATAGACCTGTAGGGCAGGAAGAGCTCATGATGATGGTAAAAGAGGGAGCCATTTATATAGAATAAAAATAGCTTTAGAGATTTTTAATTTTAGTAGAGGACGAAGAATATCTCCCAAAGAAGACTGGCTTACCAGAGGAGGAGTCGGGAGGAGGGTGGATTTTTAAGGAAAACTCTCCCACTTCCCTCTCCCAAAGCATGAGTAAGCAGCATCCTGGCCCTCCCTACCAGGGGACTCTAAGGCTGGGGCACTTGGGTGGCTCAGGTGGCTTAGCATCTGACTCTGGATTTAGGTTCAGGTCATGATCCCATCATCAAGTCCACACTGAGTGTGGAGCCTGCTTAAGATCCTCTCTCTTCTCTGCTCCCTCACTCTCTCTCCAAATTAACAAATTAGGAATAGAAGGAAGTACTTCAACATAATCAAGGTCATATATGAAAAACCCACAGCTAACATCCTCAACAGTGAAAGACTGGAAGCTTTTCCTCTAAGATGACAACACAGGACGGCCACTTTCACCACCTTCATGCAGCAGTTGGTACCATCTGCAGAGCTCATTCAAAGTTCACTTGTACTCACTTGGGTGTGTTGGAGCTCTATGCCATTTTAGGATGTGTATCTTGGTATAACAGTTCTACCCAGAGCTATTAGGCAAGAAACAGAAATAAAAGACATCTAAATTGGAAAGGAAGAGGCAAAATTATCTGTATTTGCAAATGATATGATCTTATATATTAGAAAACACTAAAGATTACACATGCACACACCATTACAATTAATAGACAAATTCAGTAAAGTTGCAAAATATAAGATCAACATACAAAAATCAGTTGCATTTTTATACACTAACAATAAACAATCTTAAAAGGAAATTTTTAAACTGTATTTACAATAGCACCAACAAGACTGAAATATTTGTTAAATAATCACAGAGAAGGGGCACCCGGGTGGCTCAGTCAGTTAAGCATCCAACTCTGGTTTCGGTTCAGGTCATGATCTCACAGGTCATGGGTTTGAGCCCTGCATCAGGCTTTACACTGGTAGTGCAGAGCCTGCTTGGGATTCACTCTCTCTGCCCCTCCCCCATCCAAGCTCTTTCTCTCTAAATAAATAAATAAATAAACATTAAAAAAATAATAACCACAAAGAACAGATTAGTGGTTGCCAGAAAGTAGGGAGGGAGGGTAGGGAGCAGGGTGGCTGAATAGGAGGAACATGAGGGAGTTCTGCAGTGACGTCAAGTCAAGCATCTAGACTGTGGTTGCCATACCAAGATACACATCCTAAGATGGCATGGAGCTCCAACACACCCAAATGAGTACGAGTGAACTTTGAATGAGCTCTGCAGATGGTACCGATGCCAGGTTCTGCCTTTGACCCTGTCCTACAGTTGTGCGAGATGTTAACCATGGAAGAGGCTGGGTAAAAGACGCACAGGCCCTCTCTGTACATTTCTTTGTGCCTTCCCATGAATCTATAATTATTTCAAATAAAGAAGCTTAAAGGAAACAAAAATGGTACAAGACCCTCGATAGGACCTGGCCTGAAATAACAGGAATAAAGGCAATAGGGGTAACTAGGAAAGTTGGAATAGGGATGGGTTACCAGATGATAACAGGAAACTACTGTTAGCTTTCTTAGGTGTGACAATAGTATTATGGTTGTGTGGAAGAATGTCCTTATTCTTAGAATATACGTCCTAAAATTTTTAGGGGTACTTACTTTCAAATGCTTATATACATACACATAAAGAAATATCTATATGTGCACACACAAGTAAATACACACACACATAAACATACATATACACTCATATACATGTATACATATACAAAAATATACACACATGCATACATAAACACATCTACATTTATATACATACAAAAATCCATACATACCCCCCTCAGCAACAACACATAAAACACATGCATATAAATATACACAAATACCCATATGCGCAAACATACATACATGTATAAAATACATTATAAACACATAATACATAACTTATATGTTGCATACATAAAAATTGAGGTGGTGGGTGATGGGTGCTCATTATACTCTTCTCTCAATTTTTCTCAATATTTCAGAAACTTGTCAAAAGAGAAACTAGGCAGGGGATATGTTAATGCTTCCAGAGAGAGGTACTACACCAAGGGATCAGCATTCATTATTACTTAGGTGAGAAAGAATTTATAACAGTTTTCTCAAAAGGTATTCAAGAGATAGTTATAGGTATTCTGAGGAGTGGGGGGGCGGGGGGTGGAATACGTTACCAGTTGGGAGCTATAAGAAAACCACAGAGTTGGGGCGCCTGGGTGGCGCAGTCGTTAAGCGTCCGACTTCAGCCAGGTCATGATCTCACGGTCCGTGAGTTCGAGCCCCGCGTCGGGCTCTGGGCTGATGGCTCAGAGCCTGGAGCCTGTTTCTGATTCTGTGTCTCCCTCTCTCTCTGCCCCTCCCCCGTTCATGCTCTGTCTCTCTCTGTCCCAGATAAACAAATAAACGTTAAAAAAAAATTAAAAAAAAGAAAACCACAGAGTTACTACCCCGGGAAAATGCTGACTTGTAAAACCCTTTCTGCACAGTAAGTTTGATGCAGGAGAAAACAGGGAAGCCAGGAGTGTTCGCCTGGAATAACTGGGATCCAGACAGGGCAAGGCTGTCCACTCAGTTTCCTCCAACCAGCTCCAGAATCACCTGGCCCTATACAGCTGCTCCCCAAAGCTGGCAACTGATTCAAGTTGAAAACTATTTAATCTCTTTGCTCTATGACCTAAATAAGTTTCTGAAAACTCGCAAGTAAATAAAAGCAGGGCAAATAGAATTCTATTTTATTATTGTAGTTGACAATGTTACATTAGTTCCAGGTGTACAACATAGTGATTGGACAAATTTATCCAGTATGCTATGCTCACTACAAGTCTAGCAACCACCTGCCACCATACAATGCAATTACAGTATTATGGACTATATTCCTTATGCTGTACCTTTTATTCCCAAGACTTTACAATTGTATTTTAGATTCTACAGGGAAGCACCCTACTTATATAAAACTTGCATCCAATCCACTTAAATATTTTACTATTAAAAATCTCACTACAAAATATAATACATGCTTATTACAGAAAACTTGGAAAACAAAGTACAAAGAAAATTAAGTCCTGGGTGCATTTATTTCCTGTTTTCTTCCTAGAGAATCATTTTGATATAGTTAGAGTCAAACTGTGTATATACAATTCGGGGTCTTTTTTTTTGTTTTTCCCAGTAAATATTATATTATGGGTAGCTTCCATATCATTAACATGTCTTCATAGGCAGAAAAAATGGTGCAGCGCCTTTGAAGAACAAATTTGGGTTGAAATACAAAATGCAAAGCAATGTGGTAGATCAACATTAAAAATTCAAAACTGGAGGGCCTGGGTGGTTCAGTGTGTTGAGTGTCCGACTTCAGGTCATGATCTCGCAGTTCATGAATTCAAGACCCACACGAGGCTAACTGCTGTCCGTGTGGAACTCACTTCAGATCCTCTGTCCCCCTCTCTGTCCCTCCCCGGCTTGTGCTCTCTCAAAAATAAACAAACACAGGGGTGCCAGGGTGGCTCAGCTGGTTGAGAGGTTGAGCGTCCGACTTCCACTCAGGTCATGATCTCACGGTTCGTGAGTTCGAGCCCCACATTGGGCTCTGTGCGGACAGCTCAGAGCCTGGAGCCTGCTTCGGACTCTGTGTCTCCCTCTCTCTCTGCTCCTCCCCCACTCATACTCTGTCTCTCAGAAATAAATAAATGTTAAAAAAAAAAAAAACTTAAAAAAGTTAAAAAAATAAACTTTTTTTAAAAATAAAAAAAAATTAAAAATACAAAACTTGATCTAAGAGGACCTCACAGGGGCTCCTGGGTGGCTCAGTCGGTTAAACGGCTGACTTCAGCTCAGGTCATGATCTCGCGGTCCCTGAGTTCGAGCCCCGCGTCAGGCTCTGTGCTGACCGCTCAGAGCCTGGAGCCTGTTTCAGATTCTGTGCCTCCCTCTCTCTCTGCCCCTCCCCTGTTCATGCTCTGTCTCTCTCTGTCTCAAAAATAAATAAACGTTGGGGCGCCTGGGTGGCGCAGTCGGTTAAGCGTCTGACTTCAGCCAGGTCACGATCTCACGGTCCGTGAGTTCGAGCCCCGCGTCAGGCTCTGGGCTGATGGCTCAGAGCCTGGAGCCTGTTTCTGATTCTGTGTCTCCCTCTCTCTCTGCCCCTCCCCCGTTCATGCTCTGTCTCTCTCTGTCCCAAAAATAAATAAACGTTGAAACAATAAATAAATAAATAAATAAATAAACGTTAAAGAAAAAGAATTAAAAAAAAAAATAAGAGGACCTCACAGTCAGTGTTGTTTCATCAAACTTTTGCTCCATTTACATATGCATGTGAGTCATGAATGTAAATGTGTTTCTTCTAATGCCTGGGTCAAACATAACTTGAAAATCCCCAGGCTGGAGAAATCCTTACCTGATTTACAAAGACACATGTTCAAGATGCCCGCTAAAGCACTGTAGGGACGGCTGAAAAACTGCAAACTTCCCAGCTGTGCATCAGAGGTGGGGCTTGGGTCGGGGGAATAAATGGTGGCATTTCACAAGGTAGAATTACCGCACAAGAGCGAAAATGGTACATGAAGAAATGGAAGACTGGAGACAGAGGCACACTACAGAAGTTCACACATCAAACACATCAAACCCAAACACACACACACACACACACACACACACACACACACACACACAAACCATACCCATACAGCTCAAAGCTATAGATATTATAAAGGGCAAAGCTCAACAACATCCTGAAGACAACGGTTAAGTGCTAGCTGTGTCACAAACCCCTTCTGAGATCTCAAGTCTGGAGAGGGCCAGCTTTTTCATTCACTAAGCAAATGTTTACTCAACACCTACTGTGTGCCAGGCCCTGTTCTTGGTAGGAATGAATCAGCGGTGGATGAGACAGATGAAGACCACTGCCGGGTGCAGCTGGCTTTCTAGTGGGGAAGACACAAAGAGCCAACTGCAAGATATCTCCATCAAACGCTCTGCAAACTCAGGATGCACATAGACCTGGGTCAGTTTTCTGAGTTAGTACTGGCATCCCTGACTGCCCCAATCTCTACCCACTGTCCAAAACTGACAAACCAAGCAGATTCAAGGAGCACACTGCTCAAGGAAGGAGGCAGAACTCTGATTTTTCGATCTGATGCAAACTCCTAACCACCTGCAACGCCCCAGCAAACAGTTACTAGGCCAGCGGCCCCAGCACTAGGGCCCCTGAGGATTCTGGCTGCTACTGAGGGGGCCATGGGAGGCTCGGAGCACAGACGTGGCAAGATCTGACACGTGAGCTCCCAGTGGCTACCGAAGAGGAACAGATAGTGGGGAGCACAGAAGGCAGGGGTGCAGGGAGGAGGTGCCTGTTAGAGAAGCTGGTGGCCCAACGGTTGAGTTTTGGAAATACCTTACAGGTAAAGACATGGGATTTGGGGGCAGAAATGATATGGGGGCGGGGGAAAGAAAACCATCAAGGAGGACGTTGAGGATTATGGGCAGAAGAAGGAGTCGCCGTTTACAGAGGCTGGAAGGAGTGGGTTTGGGGGAGACCAGAGGCTCGGCTGAGGACCCCGAAGTCTGAGTTGTCCTTCGCGGGGTAGGGGACAGCTTCAGGGCATTAGGGGCCTGTGGGGAGGGGCAACCCAGTCCACGACAGGGGATTAAGGGTGGGGGTGAAGCCTGGGAGGGCGAATTCGGTGGGAAGGGGAGGAAGGAAACATTCACAGGCACCCCAAAGGCTCGATGAAGCGAATCGGTCTTTGGAAGGGGGTAGGCGAGGGCGCAGGACCAGGGCTGTGGCAGGAGGAACACGCAGGAAACACAGAAGGCTGTGGGAGCCCAAACCTTGTGGGAGGGAGAGGAGAGGGAGAGAGAAGGGGCGTCCACCCGTGCACGGTGGGAGCAGGAGGCGCGCACCTGAGTGGAGAGAAAAGGCACCCGGCGCCCCGGGATGGGGAGTCCGCGCCCAAGGGGAGAAGGAAAGTCCGCGTGGGAGAAGAGGGGAGAGGGGTCCGTGCCCACCGGCCGAGCGAAGACAACGAGGGTCTGCACTGCACGGGGCCAGCAAAAGGCGGAGGGGGGGGGTCCCACTCCGGACCCCCCAGCCGCCCCCCCACTCGGAGCTGGGCCGCTGTGACCTGCCGGTCCTCTAGCTGGGACTCACCGGAAGCCGGAGAAACCGCCAGAAGGGAACTCACCTCCGGCGGCGCGCGCCGCTCGTTTTGTGTGCGTGCGCGCGCGCCAGATTCCCGGATGAGGCTTCTCCAGCGAGGCCTCGGGGCGGCTGGGCTCGGGTGTTCGTGAGGGGGGCTGGTCAAGTAATTTGCCCATTTTTCCACTGCATTTCCTTTCTTATTGAGATGCCGAGTTCTTTATAACTTTTGGATATCAGTCCTTTGTTGCGTCTATGAGCGACAGTTACCTTCTCCCACTCCGGCTTGCCTTTCCACTTGCATAATACACTTACATAATACTTTCTAATGAACACAGTTCTGAATTTTAATATAGCCAGCCTTATCAATTTTCCTTGGTTTAGTTAAGAAACGTTTGTCTATGCCAAGATCACAAAGATGCTTTGTATTTTCATCTGCACGATATCGTTTTGCCTTTCACATTTAGAGCTACAATCCTCATGAACTGAGTTTTGTGGATAGTAGGGGGTCGTCAAACTACTGTAAATCCACCTGTTTTTGTATGGTCCAAGAGTTAAGGATGGCTTTTACATTTTTAGATGTTGTAAAAAAAAAAAATCAAAAGAATGGTATTCATGACACTTGAAAATTATATGAAATTCAAGTTTCAGAGTCCATAAATAAAAATGTATTGGAATGCGACCATGCCCATTTGCTTACAAATTGTGGCCGCTTTCACACTACAACAGTTGAGTCTAGTAGTTGTAGCAGAGACCATATAGTGTGCAAAGCCTAAAATACTATCTTTACAGAAAATTTGCTGACTCCTGATTGTATAGTGAGATATGATCACTGGATTTTAACTATTTAAAAATGTTTGCAAAACCAGGAGATACTACTTCTTACGCACTAGGATATCTGTAACCCAAAGACACAGTAACACGTGTTGATAAGGATGTGGAGAAATCAGAATGCTTATACACTGTTGGTGGGAATGTAAAATGGTACAATTGTTGTGAACAAATTTGGCAATCCCTCAAAAGCTTGAACAGAGAGTTACCACCATGTAACCCAGCAGTTCCACTCGAAAGTATCTACTCAAGGGGTGCCTGAGTGGCTCAGGGTTGAGCTCCTACTCTTGATTTCGGCACAGGTCATGATCCCAGGGTTGTTGGATCAAGCCCCTCAATGGGCTCCACGCTGAACGTGGAGCCTGCTTGAGATGCTCGCTCTATCTCTCTCTCTCCCTCCCCCCCCCCGCCCCATTCCTCTCCCCAGCTCATGTATGCTCTAAAAATAAATAAATTAAAAAAATAAATGCAAAGTATCTCAAGAGTGTTGAAAGCATATATCCACTAAAAACTTGTACATGAAGGATCATAGCAGCATTATTCATAATAGCCAAAAAGTGGAAACAATCCAAATGTCCACTGACGAATGAATGGATAACAAAAGTTGGCATATCCACACAATGGATTATTATTCAGTCATATAAGGAGTGAAGTACTGACACATGCTGCAACATTGATGAACATTGACAATATAATGCTAAATGAAATAAGCCAGTCAAAATGGACCACTATTGTATGATTCTATTTCTATGAAATGTCCAGAGCAGTTAAATCTGTGGCTAGATTAGTGGCTGCCAGGGACTGGGAGAAGGAAGAAATGAAAAGTGACTGCTAATTGGTATTTGCTTCCTTTAGGAGGCTAATGAAATGTACTGGAATTAAAGAATGGTGGGGGTGCCTGGGTGGCTCAGTCAGTTTAGTGTCTGACTTTGGCTCAGGTCATGATTTCACAGTTCATGACTTCAAACCCCACATTGGGCTCTATGCTGACAGCTCAGAGCTTGGAGCGTGCCTTAGATTCTGTATCTCCCTCTCTCTCTGCCCCTTGCTTGCTCACACTCTTATCTCTCTCTCTCAAAAATAAATAAACATTAAAAAAAAAAAAAGAGGGCGCCTGGGTGGCTCAGTCGGTTGGGTGTCCGACCACGGCTCAGGTCATGATCTCGCAGTTGGTGAGTTCAAACCCCGTGTCGGGCTCTGTGCTGACAGCTCAGAGCCTGGAGCCTGTTTCAGATTCTGTGTCTCCCTCTCTCTCTGACCTTCCCCCATTCATGCTCTGTCTCTCTCTGTCTCAAAAATGAATAAACGTTAAAAAAAAAATGCTTTTTTTTTTTTTTAAAAGAATGGTTATGGGTGCACAACCTGGTGAAAATATTAAAAACCACTGAAACACACACTTAATTGTTTAACTTAAAAATTGTTTAATCTAGGGGCCCCTGGGTGGTTCACTCCGTTAAGCATCCAACTCTTGGTTTTGGCTCAGGTCATGATTTCACAGTTCGTGGGATCAAGCCCCATGTTGGGCACTGCACTGGCAATTTAGAGCCTGCTTGGAATTCTCTGTCTCCTTCTCCCTCTGCCCCTCCCCCACTCTGTCTCTCTAAAAATAAATAAATAAACTTTAAAAATTTTTAAAAAAATTGTTTAATCTATTTTACCAGAAATGGCTACTGATTCAGCTGAATTCCTTTGGTCACACTAAGCCCAGACGTCCATATACTTTTGTATTTGCTATTTTTTCTCCAGGGACTTGCTTATACATACTCTCAACCTCTTTATCTCTTGGGGTCTTAGTGTTGCTCTTGTAAATGTGGATTTTTTTTATTTGGCACAGGCAGCCTTGCACCCCATACCCACCTCTTCTCCAGTGAATCCATTTCTCTAACCATTGCCCATGAAGGGTTTCCACCTATGGCTTTATTGCCCCTCTCTGGTATTCGATGGGTGGAGTCTCTCCTCCCTAAATCTGTTCTCTCTTGGTCCGTAACATCACCCACCCTGGCTTCCCTCCTCCCTCCTAGGCCATTTCTTCATCTGGCTGCCTCCTTTGTTTTTCCCACAATCAATTGGTTCTTTGGCCACCATCCCTAGTGCTCACCTAACATAATGAGAAGTCTACAAGGCTCTGGCCTACCTCACCCTGCCCGCTCTCCTCATCTCTTTCTCTCTGATGCCCCACATCCCCTCCTGCATCATCATGTACCGTACCAGTCCCTGTGTGCAGCAGTCTTCCTTCCCTACCCCCAGGTTAGTCTCTCCTCCTCTTACAGCTCCCTGCTATTATTTTCGTTCTTTTCCCTATTATAGCTCACATTGATGTTTTCACACTTGTTTGATAAATAAACGGCCATCTTGCTTTCTAGCTGGACTGCTCCATGAGGCTGGACACACTGTTGTATTCCCAACTATACTCCGCAGGGGATCAACGTGCCAACATCTGAGATACTCACCAAATGTTTGCCAATTTAAATGAACTGAAAGACATATTCCAATGTATTAAAAATGATTGCCAACGACATGAGAGATTCTGGACGCAATTTCTTAATCTCATATTTTTCTGTACATTCTGAGTAGAATTGTTCGAATCAGAAAACAACAAAGATATGCACTCAAGATATGGGTGCCCACTGTTCACTAACACTGGTTCACCTCCATCTTAGTTCAACAAACATTTCTTGGGCACTTGCTGCACGATTCTAAGGGCCAGGATACAGCAGCAACAAGATGTGTACAGTCCAGTAGGGGAGATAAACACATACAATGCATCATGTATCAATAAAGCAAGGAAACAGGATGGGGAATGTGTGTTGAGCAGGGACCGTTGCAATTTTAAATAGAGAAATCAGGAAAGGGCTCACTGAAAAGGTGATGTATAATGAATTTTAAGTGAGGAAGTGAGCCCAAATGTATTGGGGGGAGAGGATCCCACAGCAGAAAGTGACTTCAGAGGTCCTGAGATAACAAGACTGGCATTTGAGGAATCGCAGGGAGGCCTTGAGACTGGAACAGAGTGACCAAGGTGGGTATCAGAGAAGGGGCTAGGGAGGTGACAGAGCTGTCAATTAAAAAACACTGCCAGGCCAAGGCACCTGGGTGGCTCAGGGGGTTAAACGTCTCACTCGATTTTGGCTCAGGTCATTTCATGGTTCGTGAGTTCGAGCCCCGCACTGACAGTGTGGAGCTTGTTGGGATTCATTCTCTCTCTCTCTCTCTCTCTCTCTCTCTCTCTCTCTCTCTCCCTCCCTCCCTCCCTCCCTCCCTCCCTCTCTCAGAATGAACTTAAAAAACAAAAGCAAAAAAACCATTGCCAGACCAAAGAAATGATGGAAGACAAAGGAGACAACCTGATTATGGTTGAAGGTACTTGCTTCCTCTCCCCCAGTGAGGATTATCCATCCCTGTCCCAGTGACTTCAGGCTTGTTGTGGACTTGCTTTGACAAGAAAAGGTGAGTGGAAGTGCAGGTGCTATTTCTGAGCAGAAGCTTTCAGAGCCTCTGGATGGATCCACTGGTCCTCCCTTCCCTCTGCCAGGAGGCCAGCAATGCCCCAGAGAGGCTGCTCCCTGGCCGAGCGAAGGCAAAATGAAGTAGAGCACTGGCGTTAGGAGCCCCAAAGACTTTTGCTGTCGTTTGTTACTGTAGCATAACTTACCTTAAGCTGCCTCATACAAGAAACCATTAGAAGTACTGCTTTAAGGTTGAAATTCAGAGTGACAAAAAAAAAAAAAAAAAAATTGACATTTCAAGTGGTGGCAAGGATGTAGATCAACAGGAAATCTCCTTTGTTGCTGGTGGGAGAGCAAAATGGTACCACCACTTTGAAAAGAACTTTGCAGTTTCGTACAAAGTTCAACACAGACTTACCACATGACCCAGCAATTGGGCTCCTAGGTATTTATCCAAGAGAAATGAAAACCTACGTGTTAGAGACTGAAGGTTTGTGTCTTGCCCAAATCTATGCTGAACTCCTAAGCCCCAAATAATGGTACTTGGAGGTGGTGGCCTTTGGGGGTGATTAGATCTGAGGGTAGAGCCCACATGAAAAGGATTAATGCCTTTATAAAAGAGACCCCTGAGAGCTCTCTCACCCTTTCTACTACGTAAGGACAGTGAGAAGACAACCAATCTGTGAACAAGGAGGCAGGTTCTCACTAGACACC